CCGACCCCGCCCCGCCGGCGAGCCGAGCCCAGCCCCCCACGCCGCCGTCTCGGGTTTGGCCCTTCCCACCAGGAGAGACGTCCCGCCGCCTGCCCTGGGGTCCACGGCACTGTTTCCCCGCGGTCCGGTGACTCCCGGAGGATCCCTCCCCCCCCAGGACCTTCTTGGAGAATTCCCCCCCGAGGACCTCCCCCAGGAGAGTCCCCCCAGGACCCTCCCTGAGAACTCTTCCCGGAAGACTGCCCGAGGACACCCCTAAGGACCGCCTCCAAGGACGTCCCCCCACAGGAAGGCTCCGAGGGACCCCCAGGACATCCCCCTGAGGATGGCCCCAAGGACGGCCCCGAGGACCCTCTCTGGGAACTCCCCCCGGAGGACCCCACTGAGGACACCCTGGAGGACGGCCCCCAGGACTGCTGAGCAGAAGGCATAATTAGGTGGCCAGTGGAGCGATGCAAACTTTTACAGCTCTCCCAACTACTTAAGCCGAATAGAACCCAGAATTGTGCCTCTCAGCCCTTTCTTTTGTCTAAAAACACATTCAGTCATGTCGACCCTTATTGCAGTGAGAAGGGGAAATCATGCCAGCTGACCAATCCTGTGTCGTCTATGGTGATCTCGCCCTAATTACCCTGTTTACTGTGCTCCAGGGCACACGTGCCATATAGGGCAGGCCCAGCCTCAGAGAGGATGCAGAGCCTCGTGACAGCAGCTTCACCTTAACAGCTTGTGATAACAACAAACTTGTTACTGCTGTGGTTGTTTCCAGAGAGGAGGGCAGGGGTGTGGATACATTACAGGAGTGGGTCTACAACTGGGCCCAACTCCTTTCTGGTCAAGACTTACTTCAAGGCCCTGAAGTGTTGGAGGAATTGCCCAGAATCTAAATGGAAGCCTTGGGCCGGCCCGTGGCTTAGCGGTTAAGTGCGCGCGCTCTGCTACTGGCGGCCCGGGTTCGGATCCCGGGCGCGCACCGACGCACCGCTTCTCCGGCCATGCTGAGGCCGTGTCCCACGTACGGCAGCTAGAAGGATGTGCAACTATGACTGACATACAACTATCTACTGGGACTTTGGGCGGGGTGGGGGGGGAAGGAGGAGGATTGGCAATAGATGTCAGCTCAGAGCCCGTCTTCCTCAGCAAAAAGAGGAAGATTAGCATGGATGTTAGCTCAGGGCTGATCTTCCTCAAAAAAATAAAATAAAATAAATGGAAGCCTCCTCAGTGCTTATGGTTGAGTGTGGGGTCTTGCCAATCAAATAGAAAATTAGCGACCCTGCCAGTTCCCTGGGCCCAGCCTCCACAAATTCCTGGCTATTCACTACCACCAGCATAAGGAGGTCTTGAAGGAGAAGAGGGCTGCCAACCCTAGTCCACAGAATCCCATAAACGAGGAAGTGCATCTTCTGACAAAAAAAACAATGCCTTAGTTCAAATCTTGACCGTCTCAGGTCCACACAATTGAAAAACAGCACCTAACTGACCTCCCTGCATCTAAACGGTTTTTCAGTCCATCTTCTACGCTGTTGTCAGGACTCTCTTCCTTCCAATAGTAACACATAAACTAAAGCAAGTCATCGCATCACTCACCTAGTTAAAAGTATTTAATTGCCCTATTGACTCCTTATCACGTCACACGAAGTACCTGCCAGTCTGGTCCTAAACTCCCAATCTGGCCCATCTCCGGTCCCCACACACCACTCTCGATGGGAGCCATCCGATTCCTTAGCCGAAATTCACAATGCCTTGTCACATCTCTGTCACTTTGCTCAAGCTGTCTCCTCTGCCAGGAAGACCCATCTCCCCAGGCTGTGCCATGAAACAACCAAACGCCTTCCTCCTTGTCCTCAAATAACACCCCCTTCTAGGAAGGAGGGTCCCTTTATCACAGCACCATCATATTGTTTTATTATAAATATTTGCTTCCTTTTGTACTGACGAGATTTTCACATATTGAGGTGTATAGGATATTACTATTTGAGTTCAAAACTGATTAAGAGTGACATAAAAAGGCTGACTTATGGCCTATCAAACATATCAAACTTACATTGTACATCTGCTTTAACCATTAAAGTAAACAATGCACTCTCTTAAGATAAGAATGCATCGGGGCCAGCCTGGTGGCATAGTGGTTAAGTACGCATGCTCTGCTGTGGTGGCGCGGGGTTCGCAGGTTCGGATCCTGGGGGCGCACCGACGCACCGCTTGTCGAGCCATGCTGTGGCGGCATCCCATATAAAGTAGAGGAAGATGGGCACTGATGTTAGCTCAGGGCCCGTCTTCCTCATCAAAAAGAGGAGGATTGGCATGGATGTTAGCTCAGGGCTGATCTTCCTCTCACACACACACACACACACAAAAGATGAGAATGCCTACTTCCCTTCCCACACCCATTGGTAATGCCCTATTGTAAATACCCTGTTGGTAACGCCCCTATTAGTCCCTTTCCCAACATCAGAGTCATGTTGACCTGCTAGTTTGCAACTGAATACCTCTCTGAAACTTGGATGAATATGTATCCTGGGTGTGTTTAATGCATATTTTTTGTTCTAAAAGGTGTGAGCTGTACTGAAAACCAATCTTCTCTGGAAGGCTTTCTTTCTTTCTGGAAAAGGCTTTTGCGGGGTTATAATCCCCACTCTGGCTCAAGTAAAACTCACCTTATCTCTCTTATCTATAGAATGGTGATCGGTTATTTTGCATTGACAGTACCAACCTTAATAGATATATTCCCTGTGACATGATAGATATGCTAACACATCGTATAATCAGTGAATGTTTACTGACTAAATGTTTGTTGAATGAAAAAAAACAACAAACTAGCTAAAAGGCTAAAAATCAAGGAACATGAAACAGATTTAGAGAAGACTGGTGGATTATCACCATGATGATCCAAGCTAGTAGGTATCTTAGCAAACAGAAATGCATCAACTAGTGGAATAAATATTACAGAAAGAATGCCTGACTAGCCTCTGTGCTCTGCTCTGCATGGGTCCACAGGTGTAACAGCATGATCCTTGCTACTGTTATTGTTACTGCACAAAGGGTACAATCTGCTTGCCACGAGACAAAAGCCAATAGTCAAGAGGCAAGATGGTGGCAGAGAAAGAGCAGTTTATTACAGCTTGCTAGCAAGGGGGAAGATGGCCAACTAATGTCCAAAAGAACCATCTTACAGAATAAAGACTACAGGCCAGTGAGATAGGGGGCTGGTCTTCGGGGGTGGCATCCGATCTCTGGGTGGAGGCAGACGTCTAGTCTCAGGGTGGAGGCATCCATTTGATCTCCTGGGGAAGGCACATATCTAGTCTCAGAGTGGAGGGATCCATCTGATCTCCCGGTGGAGGCAGACATCTAGTCTCAGGGTGGGGGCATCCATCTGATCTCTGAGTGGAGGCAGACATCTTGTCTTAGTTCCTGATAGTCTTTTGTTTTACTTGATATGCATCAGAGACTGGAGCAATGCCCTATACCCTGATCTTTCAGTTGTCATTGATGATGGCTGTCAGCATAGACTCTCTGCCTGGGGTCAGCACATTCCTAAGGAACTCAAAAGAACAAAGTTTTCAACTTATAGCAACTGGGAGGGGCCATAAAATCCACAGAGCAAGTCTGGGTTAGTTAATCAGAGGTCATTCAAAGTTACAATTGGGTTTCTTTTCTACAATATGGCTTCCCTCATGTCAACTTTGTGTTGAGCTGGCATCGATTTCCCCCGTTTGTCACTCAATCCCTCGATCTTGAGGGACATCCTGTTGTTCCATCTTATTGAACCAGTCTCTTAGTAAGACAGTGATGCAGGTGGGCTCCCAAAGTTAGGCCTACATTGTGGAAGCAAACAATCAGGTGTTTAATAAGAGAAAAAGAAAAACAAAGTTAATGATGGGAGCAAATTATAAACCAGTTTCTGAGGCCAGTGAGCAGCCAGTCAAAAAGATTTCTTTTTTTTCTTTTCTTTTTTTTTTTGTGAGGAAGATCAGCCCTGAGCTAACATCCGTGCTAATCCTCCTCATTTGGCTGAGGAAGACCGGCTCTGAGCTAACATCTATTGCCAATGCTCCTCCTTTTTTTGCCCCCAAAACCCCAGTAGATAGTTGTATGTCATAGTTGCACATCCTTCTAGTTGCTGTATGTGGGACGCGGCCTCAGCATGGCCAGAGAAGCAGTGCGTCGGAGCACTCCCGGTATCGGAACCCGGGCCGCTGGTAGCAGAGCGCGCACACTTAACCGCTAAGCCACGGGGCCGGCCCCTCAAAAAGATTTCTAGATGTCAGAGTCAAGCATCTTTTGCAGTTTGAAAAGTCTCTGATGATGTCATTAGGTATTCAGGTACCTTTCTGAGTGGCTTACACAGCAACAGACATGAACCTCTCAAGTTTATATCAAGTCTTCCAGCTTCAGTTTGCAAGGCTTCAGGAAAAAGGGCAGGTTCAGTTCTCAATGATGCCAAATGAAAATTATGGAAAAAATTGAAAACGTTAGTATGGAGATTTGCAGCCAGATATCAGGAGACTAGAAGAATTCATGATCCCGTCCAGTTAACAGATATAACAAAAACCTCAAATACAATTAACAGAACTAGAATATAATATCCATTAATGTGTACTATAGCTTCTACTGAAACATAATTTTTCTCTCTGTAATCACCCTCATTTTTTACAAAAGATAGT